ATATTTTTTTGATTATGCTATTTATCTTGTTGTATATTTATTTTGAAAAATAAGAATTTATGTATTCTTTTAAAATTATATAACATCATTATATTTTTGTTATTCAAAAGCTGTAACATCATATAATATATAAATAATACATAATAAACTTATCTTTTATATAATATTTATATTATAACTATAATTATTTGATCTTTGTATGAGATAATCATAAATAATACAACACAAGTTTGATTCTAATTTCATATCTATCTAAAAATAGCAAATAATAATAACTATTAAGATTTTAATATATTAAAATAATGTTATTAAAAAACAAAATTATTAAAAATACAAAAATACATGATAATTTTCACGAATATTTTAATTCAATGAAAGTTTTTGTTGCATTAATTATGATTATCACTGTAAAATCCAGCGCTCTTGAGATTACATAAGAGTTTTACTATACTCGCTTTCATCCAACAATGACCTCAGGCTCCTATAAATTTTTTGAGACATATTTTTAGCCAATATGATGCAAATATGATTAGAATCATTCTACTCACAATCCTTCTAACAAATTGAAAATTGTAAGTAATATTCTATGTGTATTTAAGTTATTTTCATCTCACGGAAAAGTAATTGGGTTAGCAAGAGCTGGGTCAAAATCTCGACCCAATGAATTATAGCCATTAATAAATTCATCCAGCATGGCATCCATTTTTTTTCGACTTCATTTATCTAAAAATAGCAATATATATTAAAATAATGCTATTAAAAAGCAAAATTATTAAAAATACAAAAAGGATACATTATAATTTTCATGAAATATTTCAATTCAACAAAAATTTTTGTTGCATTAATTATGATCGTCACTGTAGAATCCAGTGCTCTCGAGACCACATATATTATATAAGCATTTTCACTATAATCACTTTCACCCAGCAATGACCTCAGGCGCCAATAATTTCTCCTATAAAGCTTTTGCGACATATTTTTAGCCAATATGATGCAAATATGATTAGAATCATTTTACTCACAGTCCTTCTAACAAATCGAAAGTTATTAGTAATGCTCTACGTGTGTTTAAGTTATTTTCATCTACCTTAAAGAAATATAATCCTTCCAAAGTTGGCTTCAGAACAGTAATATCGTGAGTGAGTCGGAAACCTTAATGGTGGTCCTTCAAATCCAAAATACAATCCATCATCTAATAAGTCAACACCAATTATTTTACCATATAAAGTTAAACACAGTAAAATAGAATCAAAAACATAGATCATTATGAATATAATGCATAATATATGTATTAAAAGACTTACACGCTAACTGCAACCCAATGACTGCTGAATTTTCAATCATCTCATCGGGTAGATCATGTGAAAGATATTGATCGAGAACAGATTTATTGGTTCTCAAAAATTTACTGCGATCATTAATAAGTTTGGTAGGAGTTGTTCTAACCTTACGGCGATGGGGT